CGTCGTGGATGACCATCTCGGACACGAAGTTGCCGTCCACGTCATAGCTCTCCGCGGTGAAGCGCTCGCTGGTGTCGATGGGCCCCTGGGGCGTGACACTCAGGACCACCATCCCGTCCAGGACCCACATGAGCAGCTTCCAGCCCTGCGACACGGTGCAGTTGAAGCGGGCCTGCGAGCCCAGCAGCACCGTGGCGTTCCTGGGGCCGGCCACGACCTCATAGCTGCTCCCAGGAGCTGGAAGACAGCCGGCGCGGGCAGTCAGGGGGGCTCTCGCCGGGCGCAGCATGCACCACCTGCACAGCAGCTGTCACCCCGGGACAGCCCAGCAAAGGTCAGAAGTCAGCGTCTGACTCCGGGCCTGGGGAACTGGTCACCGTCCCTCGGTTCGCCTCTGGGCGCGAGAGACAGACAAGCTGCCTGCAGTAGCCCTTTTCCCTCAGCCCTGGCCCAGCTCTCTGACCCAAGGCTCGCTTTGTTCTGGATTTTTTTTTTTTTTTTGATTCAGGAAAAAGGCACCAGGGACCCCCAGAGATGCTAGAGAAGCTGCAGCCACTTGGCTATGCTTCCCCAGCCCTGAATCCCACCTCAGGAAGGGGGGCCGGAGGAGGAAAGAGCTAAATCTGCACCCCAGAACGGAGACTGGCTGTCATCTGCCCCCTGCGATACACTCTTCCCCACCCCATGTGGTACTGGGCTCAAGAACAAGGTCAGGGGGCTGGAGAGGAGGGTGCACGGGGGGAGGGGGCCTGCTGGCTTTGCGGGGAGCCCAGTGGGAGCAACACCTGACACCATCAGCACCACATCGCAGGCTACAGGCTATGGGGCACCAGGAACCCCGCAGACGCAGGCCTTGCTTGGGGGGGGCGGGAGGCGGAGGGCCCCCAGAAAGGCCCACGCCCTGGGCCATGATTCCCCTGACCGTGAAGCTTGCTGGCTCCGCCACTCAGCCCCCCAGCCCTGCCCTGAGCCAGAAGCTGGATTTCCAGCCCCAGGAAGCCCTGGCGCGCCTCCCGCTCCCCCTGTGTCTTATCAGTGGGGTGCGTGTGACCTGCCCAGCACAGAGCAAACTGGAGAAAGCTGCAAATAAGCCGTGTCCGGCGCGACGCGGCCTTTCCCCTCTGTCCTCCCTAGCACCGGGCAGGACAGGACAGGCGCAGAGCCGGAAAGGCTCGGTCCCTCCCAGGCGCCACCTGCCCGCCCGCGCCCCCACCCCCACCCTCGGCCACCGAAACCCCGATCCGCCCGCAGGAGCTTGCCTGCCGCAAGGGGCACACCGGGCCACCAGCGGCTGCCCCTCCACAGGACCGAGGGGCTCCCTCAGCAGGCCCCGCTGGCCTCCGCTGGGCCCCTGCAAGCCCAGCAGCTCGGTCACCGCCCCAGCCGCAGGCCGCACGAGCCCATCCTGAGTGTGAACGGCGCCCTGGAAGAGCAGACCCCGGGGCGGGGACCCCTCTGCGCTCCGGGCTCCTCTTTCCTGGCTCCTGCTGCGTACACCCCTCCCCTCCTCTCGGCAATTACCTGACATCGGCAGGGACTAGAAATGGAAACAGAAAGAGACTAGCGCAGCTGGAGGGACGGAGGAGGAGGTGGGGGCAAAGCGGGGCACAGCTGGGTGGGGCGAAGGGGGGAGGGGTCCCCAGGCCCGCCTGACTGCCTGCGAGGTCCCCAGACAGCAGCACATGCCAGCACCCCCCAGCACCAGGGCCCCCGGCGCCCGGGCGGCAGCCAGCACCCCCATGGGGTCGGCCCCGACCGGCCTCCTTCCTCCGCACCCCACTGTTCAGCCTCCTTGCCCTCCACTGCCCGCACCGGCCGCTGGCCTGGCTCA